ATTTAAAAATTCTTTAAAACCAAAAGAACAATTATCACAAACCAAATCATCACAAAAATAAGTGCAGAAGAAAATAAATGTGAAAGCAGTAAAAATAAGAACACAAGGGTTTATAGTGGTTCGGTCAACTTGACCTACGTCCACTCTCGGAGGCGCCCTTCGAGTATTACACTACAATCATGACTCTCCTTTAGCCCCCACAGCTAGGCGGAGAAGCCCTCACAATAACACCTCCTTTTTGCCACATCCGGCAAGGCAGAGAACCCAACTCCTTTTGCTTCCTCCTGAAGTAGGCAGAGAACCACGATCACTTGCTGAAACTTACCTCTCCCAACCCTTCCAAGGACAAGAGACTCTAGGGAAGAAGAAGTAGAACAATGCTTGGAGCAACCCTTGTGAATCCCCTCACAAGCTCCCCCTCACAAAATCCTCCCTCTCTCTCTCTCTCCCTTTCTCTCTCTCCTTTAGGTTTTCTAAGGTCAAGAAAATAGCCAAGGATGTTCAAAAACATTGAACAAGAGCTCTTAAATAGAAGAGGTTCAAAGGAGCTCATTAATTGCAAGTTGTCGACTTTAGCGTCCAGGTCAATATAGAAATCGTCCTGGCCGATCAGTACAAAACTCATGAGATCAGCCAGAGCATCGCCCTGAATGCAAACTGGACTATTAAAAATTTTCTTGATCATCCCGGCCGATCAGTTCAAATCAGAGGAAAATCGTCCAAAGCATCTCCTTGAATTTGAGCTGTCCGATCGAAATTGGCCAGGAGCAACTAAGGGTTTTTTAATGAATCATCCATGCCGATCTTGCAATCGTCCAGGACGATCTGATAATTTAGGCATAATTATACAATATCGTCTAGGCCGATCAAATAATCGTCCTGTCCGATTACCAAAAATACAGAATACCTAAATTGATCATGGCGACAAATTCTTTCTGTATTGAGCATATCGTCCACGCCGATCAGTTAATTACGGCTGTCTTAACTAAGAAATCATGATTAGATCTTTTGTTTTGAATTCGATCATCCAGGATGGTATAAATATCGTCTTCGCCAATGTGAGTAAAAAGACAAGTTGTAAATCTCTCAAGTGTGTGTGTAGGGTTACTTAACATCAGTCACTTCAAAAAATTACAATTGACGCAAGAAAGAAAAAAAAATTACAGACTGACTCAACCCTAATCTACCTAGTCTTGAGCTGATTATGATTTCCGTCTGATCTTTGAATCTTGAAATGTCAGTAGTAACATGAAGTTAAAGAAAAGCAAGACTGTTTGCCAATCATCAAAACATAGTCCATGAAACGGAATTTGCAATAAATACAAGTGTTGCGGATTCGGGGGCGTGGAGTAGCAGCTTCTGAATAGAATTATTCGCTGCTTTTTACAGGTGGACTATCGTGCACTAATTGTTGCTTTCTGGATTGTACTGCACTGACACGACTCCTGTTTTTTATCACAAAAGTCTACAATTATTGAAGCATCATCACTCTTTGCTCTTAACATATCAATGCAGTTACTTAATAGTGAGCAGTGATTGACCATTAAGTGGATATAGCACTCATTGGATCTCCTTCATCACCATTCATGAATAGTTTGATGTGTATATTTGTATTCACAAGTGACCTTTAAATCTGACATGACATCTTTCAGCACTTATTATGAATAGAGTCACATCATATGTTTTGAGTTCATTCCACTCATTTGAATGGCCTGAGATATCTCAACTTTAACATTCTTTATTTGAATAACCTTTGAGAGCTTGTTCTTCATTCGTCTTACATATCTCGTTCATATGCTTACCTTGATTTGGATGATCATGATAAATGCTATGGGTCAATCATCATCTAGTTTGTGAGGTGAATGATAGCATCAACATTGTTATTAGTTATCAATTTATATTCCAACCAATATGATAATTTCTTGCTATTTCCTTCAGATCCTGTGGATTGATTGTAAGCATATTGTTGTATCCCCCAATTGATCTTTCTTCTTATGGATAAATCACATTCATTGTGTCTTTCATATGTCATGAGTTTCCCATCTTTGCTTATATGTTGAATTGTTGTTGATGATGGAGACTTCGCTACATTAATATGTAAATCTTTTATGAATATCCCCATTGTAACTGTCTTTGCTCATCAAATTCATATCACTTGCTCTTATGAGTGAGATATAGGGATTCTATTCACCATAGGTCATTACTTATAATTGTTTGTTGATGCTTGTAGGAAAGTTTAAACTTGTAGTTCTTTGTTCAAAATCCAAACAATGTCATTCAGTTCAAGTTTAAATCTTATTATTTGCATTCAAGCAAATTTTCCCATTCCTCAGATCAAGTTCAGATCCAAGTTCTATTTACTAATGCTTGTTTGGATACTCAAGATTATCGGTTAACACTTTTACATTTATATTGTGATCATTACTTTGATTTTTCAAAACATGTTCATTTGAGTCCACTTTCACAAGTCCTTGCTCAAGTTCTATGTCCCCTGTAGTCTTTTGAGTTCAATCAACTTCAAGTCATGGCAGCTCAATATTTAAATCAAGTTCTTGCTTAAGTCCAGATCAATTTCATTTTTCTTGAGTTCAGTTCTTTGTCATACTTTAGCCCGTCACAAAATTTCTACCCAACATCTGACTTCCTGACAGTAAATGGTCCTTCCGATCTCCTTCACCAGAAAGTAGTGTTTCTAACCTCCATCATCCGCCGACTATGATCTTTCTAACCTCTGTCGCCCGTCAACTACAGTCCTTCAAACCTCCGTCGACCGTCAACTATGGCCTTTATGACCTTCATCGCTAGATAACAGTCTTTTCGACCTCCGTCGCTAGACAATTATCTTTTCGGCCTCCGTCGCCCACCAACTACAGTTCTTTTGATCTCTGTCGTCTGCCGACTAGTGTCTTTTCGACCACCGTCACTCCACTAAGGTATTTCCTACCTCCGTCGCCCACTAACTATGTTCCTTCCGATCAAACGAACACGTCAATAGTGATTATTCGTATTCCACCATGTAATGCAGTCCATATAATGTATATTTGTTACATTAAGCAAGGCCTTCCCCCTAGGAAGGGCCTCATTTGTAATCAACTAAAAAAAAACTAGTAGATTCATTCAAATTGAGCCAGACTCCGTGGGTTTTCCCCTATTTCAGTGTTTTTCACATAAAAATATTGGTATCTTTTATTGATGTTACTCCCTCTCTCTTATTTGATTGTGTGCTGGATTTTCGTATAAAGCTAAAACGTTTAATTTTATATTTCTCTGCAAATATTTCAGGACACAGACAATTTATATTACATGCGAATGACGTAAAATTTATAATATATGTTTAAAATTTTAACATAAAAAGACTATATCCAATAATTGAAGAGTTTAGTAAAATTTTGCAGATACTTAACATATGCAGGAAATAAACTGTAATACGGCGGTATCATTAAAAATAAGTTTAATTTATTTTTGTAAATTACAAAAGCAATGTCACCTAATGTCGTGAATATACTTGTTGCGTAGCACCCCGCTGGAGGTTATCTCGCCGGCACTTCAGCTGACCGGAGCCCTCGCTCCAGTTTTCACCGCCATCGTGCAGGACCCATCACGGAAGAGCACACTGGGCTGGGCTTCCACTCTCCTTGGGTCAGATGGATTCCTCGTCCACTTCATAACGTCTCCTCCGTTGGCGGCCTTCTTTGATTATCGGTAACGGCTAAAAAAGGAACCTGTAGTAGTATCGCTAACGAAAGGAATTTCTCTCTCTCTCTCTCTCTCTCTCTCTCTCTCTCTCTCTCTCTCTTTATCTCTCTAGAGGGTGCTCAGTTGATTTGATGAGTTTACTTCACGTAATCCAACTCTTTCCAAATCTTCGCTGATAAAAAAGTCTGGTATGCATAAATAGGGAAATTAGTATAAAATTATTTCATCTGCTTTGCATGCTCAAGAGCTGAAAAGAAGAGAGAGAGAGAGACAGAGAGAGCAGATGGGTGTTAAATCTGGATTCCCGTTTGTCATCCTCCTCGTTTTTATTTCAACAGGTAATAGATAGCTTCTCGATCTTCATTTTTTCAGTATTTATGTTAATTGTCAGATCGATCACAAAGAAGAAATTTCAAAATTGTTCTCATTTGCTTTATTGATTTTGCTGTTATCTAATTTTCTGGCCAATTATGCTAGATGAATGCCATAGAATTTAGATTGCTAATCCATCATTCAGATTTGGTTTCGAATAGTTTTTTTATTGATTTCTATGGCAGCTTTAACAAAAAATTTCTTTGTAAGCAACAAAAAATTTATAAACGAAAATTAAATATCAATATTTTTTAAATCAAAATAAAGATTTTAAAGCAACTTCATTTTTTCAAAAAATAATAATAATAATGCTTCGAAACTGATTTTATTTTCTTTTAACGTTTTCTTGCTCACGAAATGATTGATAAATTTGAAATGAAAAAATTTCCTCTTACTTGTTATTCTATTGATAACTTTCCAATAAATGCTGCTTTATTAATTGTGCATATTCTATAAATTTAGTGCTTATCAATGCCTAATACGAATGTGACAAAAAAAAAAGATTAACATTTTAAAGAGAAAGTTTATTCTTATTTATTTTTATGATATTTTTAATTGAAATTTTAGATTTTAAAAAATCCCTTGAAAGCCCACTATGGATTCAAACTAATTGATATGTATGCGCACATTTTGATTTTGAATTGCTATGGTTATTAAATATATATTTTAAAATTGTGATATCGTTTTTATCTAAGTGTGAAAGTTAAATCATTAATTTCCGCTTTTTTTATAAATTAGGTCAATTTAAAACCTTGACCTACTCCATATGACTCAGTTTCATCAACTCACAGTAAACAATGCCAAGAATAGAATAAAAAAAATTAATTAAACGGTTTTACATTTATATGTAAATTTAATTTTGTTGATCAAATTAAGCCGCACACAAGAATTTGATTTTTTTTTTTCATTTTTTATATAATTAATTGGAACAGCGAAGCGTTCAGACTCAACCCGGGTCTTCACAATCGTGAACAATTGCAAAACAGCGCTATGGCCGGGCGTTACCCCAGGCAACAACTTCAATGGCGGTGGTTTCCCCCTCCGTCCGGGCCAATCCGTGGTCTTCACCGCTCCCGTGGGCTGGTCGGGTCGAATCTGGGCCCGAACTGGCTGCGATTTCGACCAAGCCGGCAACGGCTCGTGCGAGACCGGTGCATGCGGCACAACTCTCAAGTGCGGCTCATCCGGCGAAACCCCGTCAACACTCGCCGAGTTCACACTAGGCAATTTGGACTTCTACGACGTGAGCCTAGTAGATGGGTTCAACGTGCCCGTAACAGTCAGGCCGGTGGGGGGGACGGGCAAGTGCGAGCAGGCAGGATGTATAGGAGATTTGAGGGAGGACTGCCCGGCTGAGCTGGCGAAGAAGGTGGGAGGAAGAACGGTGGCTTGCCGGAGCGCGTGTGATGTGTTTAATACGGATGAGTATTGCTGCAGAGGGTTGTTTGGGAATCCGAGCACGTGCCAGCCGACTTTTTATTCCAAAAAGTTCAAGGCGGCGTGCCCCACGGCGTATAGTTATGCGTACGATGACCCTACAAGTATTATTACTTGCTCCGACGCGGATTATGTTATCACATTCTGCGCCAGGTCAGTTTCATCTTACAAATTTTACTTTCTTCCATTGTCGTCTTTTCGTTCCACTTGAAAAAAAAAAAGGCTTAACATATTCTAATTAAAATTTAGTTATAATGATCAGTCTTAAAGTTTAAATTTTATTTTAAGATAAATATAATGTAACTTATATTAATTTGTCGAATATTATTATGAACGTGTTCTTTTCTTTGGAATTTGTAGCTATCTTGAATATTAGTTGCTGAGTTATTATAAAAAATTAAGTTTATATGAATTATTGTGATTATTCACTATTGAATTCAAAAACTCTTTTTTCTTAAAATAAATTAACAACTAATTTTCAGAATAATGATACCTGCACCAAATTATCACTCTAAAATGCTTGACTTGGTTACATTTATGTTGATGGCCCGTTGAAATTTGTTTTAAATTCGATACTACGTAATTTCATTTAAATCATTTTTAGAAAAATATTCCTTTCTCTTATTGATTTGAAATATAAATCATCTAAATTTGTTCGTATTAGCTTGTCTAGCTTCCTCAATATTACATGTCAAAAACTACTGAATTGGCTATATCCAAATTGACAATTGGCATTATATTTAACATATATCTGGTCAGTACGTTAAAAATATAAATTTTATTGTGCCTTATTAATTTAATTTTTAGTGATATAGATTTTATATATTATCTTACTTAAATATATAATATCTTATTATTTATGATTATAAATAGTTCTTATCTTGTCGGGTTATCTATTAGTAATTAGATAAAATTAAATTCCAAATACGAACTGATTTTTATAAGTTGTAAATCTCAGGCTTAGTATAATTAATATTTAGTGATATACAAATTAAATATATCATGGAAGAAAAAAAAATGATAACTGCGACTTAAATGATGTTTTATATTTTATTCACTACAAAGCAGGAATTTACTACAGCACGAATATAGAAATTAAACAATTCAGTTAAAAAAAATCACAGTCATTCATTTTTAATTAATGCATATCTTATTATTATTATTATTATTATTATTATTATTATTATTATTATTATTATTATATGGGACATATTATATTAGCAAAACCAAGTTAACTTGACAACACAAGCTCAATTAAATTGGAATTTATTGTGCCAGTGGAAGGATCACTGGCAGAGGTTCTTTCTGAATTTTATGGGGGCCGACGTAATGATAATAATAATTTTTTCTTTCAAAATTTATTAGAAAATACTTATTTTGAAAGCATAAAACAATAAAATAAGAACAAATGAAATATTGATTTAATGGCCATCTGATAATAAGCTATGGAGAAATGACATTTTTTAGAAAAAAGAAGAAGAAGAAGAATACTAAGCGATAATATTTATGTACATAAAACTAAATATTAACTTTATCATTTTTAATTTATTAAAGAACATATTTAATCATTCATATGACAATAATTTTGAAAATATTTCTATTAGTTGTGCAGTTTAATGTTTCACATGCATGTCACTTTTTTCATAAAAAAATTTACTTTAAAGTAATCTCACCCCAAAAATTTATGATTTTACAAATACTAAAAGATAAAAAATGCAAGAAAAGATTTTTGGACTATTTTTAAGAAAAGTATATCTAAAAATTATTACAATACTTAAAAAACCCAGTTAGTACCGCTCAAAATATTTAAATTTAAATCAACTTGAAATTTGAAACTAGTTTTACGTTGATTTGAATTAATTTTGGTTCTTCATCTAAAATATAAATTTCATTTGTGTGCTAGTTTCAAGTAATATATCGAGCAGACTCCAACTCCATAACTCCAGGTTATATATGAATCCTGTTAATTTTAGTTCTTCAAATTTGCAAAAGCCTTCAACATTTAATTTCTATATATAAAGCATTTTTTCATAATTATACAGTTTGCTTTAAACATATTCAGTGACATTAAATTGCCGTTTGATGCAGGAAGCAAACCGTCTGCACTTATCATGATAACCGGTTAATTTGCAGCGGGTCTAATAGATCTGGGATGCTTATTGCCAACTTGTTGATTGTTCTATTTGTTTCTATAAATTTATTGTTTGGGCATTGAATGTAATTTTTTTTTTCTTTTTAGTGGAAAGGTGGAGGTAAATTCTTTAAATTCTGAATTCCTGCTGCTTCTACGTTGGACGAATTGTTTTCTTGCATTCATTCCTGATGTAAAAAATAGGCGTTCAAGCCTTCGAACGTATGCATTGCAGCTTATGAATAGAAAGAAAAACAAATGTAATCATGATGTTTTATTTTGAAGCATGCATTACTGGTATTGCAGGTGATAATATTTAAATTTTAATACAAGTTATTTATTTGGTAGCAATTCAGAAGAACTAAATTGGGGTATGATTTTAGAAAATTTTGCTAGAAATGTAAACCTGAATTTCATTTCGGTTGAGTCCATATCTACTCAGCCTATTAGGTCATATGCCTGCACACCAAATTTTCCCAAGTCCTCCAAGCAAGCTTAATGGATCTCAAGGTCCACTATAAGGAGTCGTCATCACCTTTGCGAACTCGCCTCCAAGACAACATTGCCCTAAGCTATCGAGTGTTGTTTTTTGGACCCTATAGCCAACTAATGAGAATGATGAAAACAAATGTGATAATATATGATTTACTGCTGCCGCTACATGTGCTTGCTGTCAGCATCAGAACGTTCTCTGCATATGGAATTGCTTACTCTTTTAATCCTGACCGTTAATCAATAACGGTTCAATCTCAATCCTTGATGCCACCGTCTTCTTCTATGTATTCTCTCGCTATATGTATGAGGAACAACAATAAATGAAAGATATAACAGAGAGAATTTCTACAGCTTTACTTTTTGTTTCCCACTGTTTTTCCTTTCTCCGCTTCTCGGGTTTTCTCTGTTTTCTACAGGTTCTTGGAAACTGCAGTTCAACATGGTATCATAGCATTTTTTGTGGCTAACGGCTTGAACTATCAGATATCATGATGACATCCTCTGCTTCGTCTTCTACCTCAGCCCCTACTGTTCCCTCCACTGTAAAAATGGCAGGCATTACCATTCCTTCACAATCCTTCACAATTAAAGTTCTTAATGACTAATATGAACTCTATTCTCAATCTACAACTTACTGCAGATAACTTTCCCTTATGAAAATCTCAAATTCAAAAGTTTTTTACTGCAAATGGTTTTGATGGGCATTTAGATGGATCCACTACAAAGCCTCCACTACTATAAATCTGCACTTATTGCATCGATTGTTAGCAGCGGTTTTAGAACCGCTTCTAAAAATTTGTTTTAGCATCGGTTAAAACCGCTGCTAATTGCACCGGTTTTAACCGATGCAAATAACTCCTCATTAATTTAACCCCGCTGAAGCCCTAATTCCCAGCGCGTGAACTAAATTTCTCGAATCGTCTCCGGAGCCCCCAGCCTCTTCTCCTTCCTGCGCGCGACTCAAGCGATGATGCCTTCTTAGTTGATTTTGAGTTGAACCACTGAGACGCATCGTTCTTCCCTCCTTCAAATTAGGTTTTGGACAGCGAGCAGTGCTCTCTCTCTCTCTCTCTCTCTCTCTCTCTCTCTCTCTCTCTCTCTCTCTCTCTCTCTCTCGCACATATCTATTCTAAATCTTCATGAATCTATTCTAAATCTTCGATCTCCACGTTTACTGCGACAATGGATATTGGCTTGCCCGTGACGAGTTCCTGCTCTCGAGAGCACCAGAAGATCTATCAGGAATGGTTCGCCTTGGCGGATTCAGGTCAGTCACTTCTTCTTCGTCTTCTCGATTATTAGATTTTATTTTACTAATGAAAAAAACTTAGGATATCCATTGATTTCCCTTGTTTCCTCGACTATTAGACGGAGACGGACGCATCATGGGGAATGATGCTATCAGGTTCTTTGGAATGTCCAAACTTACACGCCCGGAGCTCAAATAGGTTTGGCATCTCTACATTTTATATCGTTTGATGTGATTGTTTAGAGATAGTTATGTTTTACCTATGCCTGGTGGCTGGTTCCTCACCTTTGTCTTGATTTTTTTACCTCATTGGCTTTAGCTGAATTTCTAATGGAAGTAATTCGTGCATTATTTAGTTATCTCGATCTTGGCATGTCTAGATCTAAAATGATTTTTTTTTTATGCTAATTTGGATAAAAAGTTGTCAGGATAAGGATAATCTGTATCATAAACAAGTGTTTGAAATGATGGTTGGAGTGTGTGAAAATGCTATTATCTTTGAAATCACTAAATGACAAGAGGGGGGTGAATTGTGAAAAACTTTTTCTCAATAAAATGTAACCCTAAACAGGAGTTCTAATCTTTTTGTTATTTTTGAAATTTGACAACAAAAACTTAAACAAATTTTCTTTCACAAATTTTACCACGCAATAATTATGAAAAATTAAGTGCAAGTAAAAGTAAATGAAGATAAGGAAAAAACACACCAAGATTTTTATAGTGGTTCGGTCAAACAGTGACCTACGTCCACTCCCCAGAGTCCTCCGCTCCGGGATTTTCACTACAAGCAATAGCTCTCCTTTAGCCCCCCTTGGCAAGGCGGAGAAGCCTTCACAATACTCTCTTTCACCAACTCGGCGTGGCGGAGTGCCAAACTCTGTTTTCACCCTCCTGACGACGGCAGAGAACCTTCTCCTTTTTCTCCCTCCTGGAGAAGGCAGAGTACCTCGAGGTCACGGATGTAGAAGAGCTTTTCACGGAGATCCTCCCACAAATTCTTCTAGGTCCACAGGAGGAACAAGATGCAGCAAATTTGGAGCAACCGTGTGATCTCCCTCACAACGCTCACCTTCACCTTCCTCTTTCAAAACCCTAAAGAACTTCTCAAGAGCTCTCTCCCCTTGGAATCCCTCTCTAACCCCGTTCTCCCTCTCTGTAATTCTTACTGAAAAAGACGAGATTAATACATAAAAACATACTCCAAAATCCCTCTGATTTCAAAAGTAGCCGTTACGGTTCGTACAGTACGATTTAACATCGTACAGTACGATATTCATAAACAGACTTCATCTTGGTACGAAGATGTACGAATAGTTAAAAAATGATGCATAATGTCCGATATAATATAGTACGGTATGATCAAAAAAATACTATTCGTACAGGACGATGGTCTGGACGATCAGATGTCGTCTCTGTTCATTGTATGGTACGATTACTATTGTATCGTACGATGCGACAAAAACCAAGAGATCGTCCAGGACGATATCCGGGACGATCACACTTCGTCTCTGTTCATCGTATGGTACGATCTTGTTCGTACAGTACGATATTCAAAATATAATTAGGCATGGATTTCATGCACTAATCACGGGTTAATTTAAGTAAGTATTTAAAATAAATCGTACAGTACGAAAATGTTCGTACAGTACGAACGGCGCAAAATCACTTAAACTAAACTACGGCTAGGGTTTTGGATCTGAACATATCGTACAGTACGAATATATTCGTACAGTACGATCTATTCACAGAATCGTCCACATAGCTCGGATCGTACGGTACGAATTAAAATCGTACAGTAGGATATCAAGAGAAGAAATTCTATTACATTTTACATTTAAAAACAAACTCTCCCCCTATGTGTGTGCATTTTTTTCTCATACTCTTATGCTTTTTGTGGCCAAACTCAAGAAAATAAAAATACAATAAATAGAAAAATACAATATCTGACTCATACTCCTAATCTACCCGTTCTTGAGTCTTTCTTTCCTCCCGAGTCACTTGTGATCTTACTGAAATATTAGTACTCAAGGACAATAACAAATAAAATAATATCCAATGAAAAGTTATTTCAAAACAAACATTATTTGGCATCATCAAAATCTCAAACTCGGGGTCATGGGTTGCAACAATCTCCCCCTTTTTGATGATGTCAAATAATTTGTTGTAAGCAAGTACGAATGAAATTTTTTTTGTTTTCTTTTTTTGTTTGTTTTTTTTTAATTTAAACACAAGAAAAAAAAGAAAGATACTAAATGCAAGTACAAAATAAAAGGAATGCATTTAACAAACTATAACAAGCGCAACAACAAGTACAACAAACTTCTCCCCCTTTTGACAGCACAAAAAGGAGGAGCAACTAAAGCAGAAAGTAAAAGAAAGAAACTATAATATAAATACAAATAATCTAAACAGGAGGGTCCTGATCAGTTGGTGGTGGAGGTGGATTCGATTGAAAATATTGAAAGAGAGCATCAAATCGGTGATCGATTGCAGTAAAGCATTCTCCAAACCATTGCATATCTGTCTCATGTTGCTGATGTTGTTCTTGAATATGCGTATCGAGACGAGTCTGTAGTTGGTCGAAGTGTGCGACCAAATCATCGTTAGGGTGTGCTGGTGCAGGTGCTCGGGGTGCGGCATGTCATCGTGGTCGAGTTGGAGCTGTTGCTGGGGCATCTTCTTCTTCTTCTTCTTCGTCAAAGACTGGTTCTTCAGGCTCGTGTCCCCGATGAAAGAGAATACGGAAAGAGGCATCCATATAAAAGATAGGAAGAATGTCGGGTTCACCAGGGTACGTAGATCAATTGATATTTATGTTTGAGGATATATCCTATTAGGAGACCAAGAGCTAGATTTTATTTCCGTCGAGTGGTAGGTAGGCGAACAAAAGTCATGTGGCGAATGTAATTACTAATTAAATCAACCTCATCGAATTTTGTGTTGGACATAATAAGATAGGTAGCGACGGATAAGGTCGGGGTCAGATTGATACGGTCGCCACCTTTGGGTATTATTGAGGTTCGAAGGACATATTGAATTATTCGGGCATTTAGAGTTAGGGATTGAACGAGAGGTTGGTGTTGATATAAAGTAGCATTCCTACGAACTCTATTAACATCGTTCCAATCGAATTCGTTAGTAAGAAATGAGCGAACCATAGGTTCTTTAGTGGACAATCCAATATATTGGGCAATGTCGACTCTAGTGATCTCAATGTTTCGGCTACAAACAAAAGAGTGAAAGGTGGTGTTGTCAATAGTGTAGGTGAGATTAGCGAGAAATTCGAAAAGAAGTTCAGAATTGTAGGAAAATGCCAGGGTGAGGAGGAATTGGAAGGTGGTGGAAGCGAAGAGGTCCATTACCTCGAAATTAAGAGTAGCCTGATTAAGCATTTTGGAAGGAGAAATTTTACAGGCTTTATACCTGTGGTAGGCTTCCTCATTTTCAGCATTTAGAAAACAAGCAGGTGGACGACTCGACGAGGATGAGGTTCCAGTAGTCAACCGACCTCGTTTAGACATTGTCAAGAGGGCACGAAACTAGGTGAAGGAGTGAGTGAGGAAGGATTTGAGTGAAAGGAACGGCCTAGCAAAGGGTTCTTATAAAAAATTTTGACAATCATACAGTACGATTTCCTATCGTACAGTACGATAGTCAATCAATATCATGACTGGTCGTTTTGGGAAAAGACAGTAAAATCGTACAGTACGATACATATCGTATAGTACGATCAGACGAATTTCGATCATCCCGAGGCCCTCAGTACGACTTTTGACCAAACATTTCGTACTGTACAAACAGGTGTATCGTACAGTACGTTCCATAATAAATATCATACCAAACAGCTTTAACTCATACTTATTCGTTGTGCTAATGTGTATCGTACAGTACGAAAGGCAAGTATCGTACCGTACGATAATCAGTAATGTCGTACCAACCAGATTTAATTCGTCCCAATCCGTTGCTGACGTGGATCGTGTTGCAACTCAGGCTTCCGAGTTTATGATTTTGATGATAACAAATAATATTTATTAATCTTTTATTTCTCCTGGTATTTGTAATATATATTTCTTTTTATGTTAACTAATATTTCAGGTACATCATACATCGTTCTTTGAAGATTCAAGGCTCAAGATTGCGTAGAATTGATCGTATTAAATGAGTCTATAATTTTCATTTATTGAGTCAAGTCTTATAATGATATATGTTAGTTTGTTGATCATGCACACACATAGAGGGAGCA